TTTATATTTTATATTATAAAAATATTTCTTTTAATTTTAACTTGTTATTCCGTGACCGTCTCTGAATAAATATTAATATAAAAAATGTCGCGGTCGTGAGAAATGTATTAATCGTTAATAGATTGTGAAATTTGTGGATTAAACGTGAGTGACGTTAACATCTTTGAATGTTATCATTTATATTTAATAATCAAGATTTGGTTTTATATTATAGATTCAAAATGTAGACAAAAGAATGTGATATGTGAGACGAAAATGCTAAAAATATGATTTCCATACTATTTTCACTTGTCCTACTACGTTCACAATATACATACAAGTAAAATTGATAACTTATTATTTCTCTTTCACTTTTTTATATTTGCCGATGCTTTATAAACATGCAATGCATATTTGAAATTATTTTTACGATTCTAAAACAATTTCAAATAATTTTGAACTTTTTTTAAAATCGATCTACGATATAGGATAGATTTTTATGACTTTCAGTGGTCGAAGGTACAATCTGCCAAGTTTTCGATTTTGGAGCATCAAATGGATCCGAGCAGCAATTTCAGTAGCTATCGTAGCACGTTGAAGGCCGCAATGTGGCGAAGTGCTGGCGCTACAGATGAACGCCAGCGAATTGTAGTTCCCTTCTTTAGCCTTCTCGTCAAGGATCTATACTTCCTAAACGAGGGTTGCAGTAACAAGTAAGTAATATCAAACATATCGATACGATCTATTCATACAATTTTATAATAAAAACAGAAAAAAGATTTTTTTTGCAAATATCTCAAAAATTGTGCTAACTATTGTAATGAATATTCTAAACATGTATATTTATTTCATTTGATATATCTCGATAGTACTGAAAATCTATTGCATATGTAGTATAAATTAAAAATTTTAGTACCCACTGTACGTTTTGGAATCCATTAATACAAACTTTGGTATCTTTAGAGATCAAGATTATCGATTAGGTGTTAAATGCAACCCGTATTTAAATTCGACAAGCTAATTAATTCCTGATGCTCAAGATCGATTGTGTATTTCAGACTGCCAAATGGTCACATCAACTTTGAGAAGTTTTGGCAATTAGCGAAACAGGTGACCGAATTTATTGCGTGGAAACAAGTTGCCTGTCCGTTCGAGAAAAATCCGCGCGTTATTGCCTTTCTCCAAGCAAGTCCCGTACTCACGGAAAACAGTAAGCGACATCCATTCTGTTCCGTTGTGTAAGTGCGACGACACGAAATTGTTCGATTCTGAATATTCGCTTTCTTTTAACAGCACTTGCATTAGCATCTTTCGAGTGCGAGCCGCCCGATAACAATCCGGAGAAGGAACGTTATAAAGCTTTAAAGTGAGTATTGCTTTACTTTATTGGGACACAATATTCTTATGATATAATTGTTATCGTAATTGCGATTCTTGTTGGAAAATATTTAAATTTCCGTTGTGTACAATGTAATGTGATCAAATTTTCTCGATTCTTCCTAAACCATATCAATATACATGTACATACACACGTACATCAAGAACGTGTTTAGTATAATGCAATGTATAATTTCAAAATTTGTGAAACTGTGATACCTTATACTGTATTCAATTCCTCGGTATACGTATATTAATTTAATATATTATGTTACTATGTGAAAGAACAATAAATATAGAAACTGTACAACAGTTATACTTACAATTAGCATGTATATTTAATTACAAAATAATTTTGAAAACTTTCCACATTATTGTGTGAATAAGAAATAACAATTTCTCTACAATTTTATGTTAAAGGTCTGAGATGAATGCCCAGTGAAAGCAAGCTATGCTGAAATATGCTGAATGGGAACGATATTGATCATATAAATATATATGAAGATACATTTATAAATATTAATATATTCGTAACCGTAGTTAGTTTATGCGCAAAGATGATGAGAAAAATGAAGAGTGAGTGGAAGAGCAACAGCGGATTAAAGTATTACTGAGGTAACTTATGTGAAATTAGGTATTTCTGTCTTGCGAATTTATGCATCGTCAAAAACACCTCTCAATGATAATTTGACATTATCAAGAGTATCATCTCTAATCGATCAGGACAATTACAATAACTTTTCTACGTTTTTTCTATTATATGTGAGAAAGCGAAAAGAAAGGAAAGAAATTACACCCTTTATACTGATTTTAATGATCAAGCTATTTTGTTGTTTGCAAATGCGCTGGATTATTCAAACCAATTCTCGATTAAGAAACATCGTTTGTACAGTACAGCCGTGATGAGTTTCATTTAAAATTTATAGTCAACAAGTCTGTGCTAATCAATCGATTGCATCTGGATGATAATTAATATTAAAATACTAATTGTCAATAAACGAAATTGTACAGATCGATCGATCTTGATCAAATTTTGATCATTCGTGGGTCGAAAAAACCAAATCTGAAAAATTTCGATCATCTTAGTGACCAAAAGTCTTCATAGTTAACATGGCGCGAATATAGAGTTAAGGACGCCTTGAGGACGATTATGAAATTCGCTTGACAATGTCGCGTAGCTGTAAGTATAGTTCCTAAGCCTTCGTCTCGCCGATATCTTTTCTCTCGAGCGGCAACCGAATCACGATTCCCTTTATATTTCCGAACAATTCCGGGTGTGACCCAGAAATTCTCGGCTCCGCTTGAAAGTGACGCGATCGGCGCGTTCAACTTTTTGTACATAGTCCTTTTGATATACACTAACAGACTCCTAGATGTGAGAGATAGGGTCGTTCCTGTAGAGTAAGCCTGCGCGATAAGTTCGAAAGGTATAGTGTAAGGATCATTGTGCACGTACTTAAGAGGATGAGGAATTAATCGCGAGGACGGTCAATCGAGACGAGAACAATTTCTTTTTCGAAAATTTCGGCAAATTGACACGGCTCAACCGTGAACTCGGGTTTCATTTGATAATCGCTTTTCCCGTTTTTTCTGACGTGACGCACGTGAATATAATATATGAATGATACAATTGCGTATATACATATATGGAGCTACGCGCGATGTAACGACTCAAGTAAATTCAATTGCAACAATCCCGTATGCTTTTTCACAAAATTTCACTGCAAATAAAATCGGTGAGGCATGCTGAAAACATTTAATATATTGTGGTCATAAATTATTCTTACGGGTAACGTGATATATTACGTAAATGTTTATAAAAATACTTTTTACTCTCCCCGGATATTTATTAATATGATTTAATTTACAAATGACTAATTGTAAGATATTATAAATTTAGCAATGATATATGTTCACGGATGTCTCAAAGCATATTTGCCATAAAAATGAAATTATTGTCAAAAAGTGACAAAGATGGCTTTTCCCAGAACGAATTGGGTTCGGCATTAACGTGATTAATAAATATAAATGTAGTATGTGCCGTGCCTTTCATCAAATATAGCGGAAATATATTGAATGCAAAATTTACAAATTGTGAAATATTATTTGATAAAATTATGAAATATTAAATGACAAAAATGTGTTCTTAACTCGTGCGTCGCAACATCATATTACGCTTCTCCCGTTGACCTATAAATTACTGATTCTATAAATTCATAATTTCTTCATCTTTGCAACTAATAGACAGAGATGACGGTTTTGCTGTAATATGTCAGATAAAATTTCCATTGTTTCACGTTCAAACAAATATTTGCTCAGATAAATTCGAAAAACGAAAACATGTGTTTCCGAACAGTTATAGGGACCAAGAGTTCGTTTCTCCTGGGTACATAAACATTGCCTATGGCATAACGAAATACCGAGAAATTGCGATGGCACGATCGAAAAAGAGAAACAAAACGGACTGTTTCAAATTTCACTCACTGAATCACGACTTCGCAGCCTGAGAGAAAAATTGCATGCAAATCGGAACGTGTTCCAAATCACGGGCAATCTCATTTATCTGAAAGAAATATATGTATACATATAGATTGAAGAAATAAAAACGTTACGTAATGATATTTCATGATTTTTCGAAACAATAACACGTTACGAAACAAAACATCTTTGAATTTTTTATATCTCGTTTATTGTTGTCTTTAACCAAAATTCAATATCCGCTCTTATTTCTTCTCAAAATCACTAAAATAATTGTTATTGATAGAAATCGATAGTCAGACGTGGTTTTTTCTCATTGACAAGAATAAATTCCATTGCATTTTTCACGTACAGTATCGAGAGGCGCTCAAGATAATTTTAATCTCCTTTTTCAGATTTCTCTCTTTCAAGTAACGTATATTTCTGTGAAATTGATACTTTTAATTGCGATTTTCTCTCGGCACATGAAGTAGAAAATTACAAGCAGATACGAAATGCACTTATTGTTAGGACGAAGTGTACAGACAGATCGCGTAACAAAGAAAGTATCATTTATTGATCGAAACGAGAAATTATGCGAGCTCCGCGCAAATCAGATCATCGTAAAGAATACTCATCTCCATATATTATTAAGATAATTATTAACTCATATGCCACAAGTTATTCGTCAAGTGCAATTATCCATTTTATCTATACATATACTTTTTCCCCAATCAATGTTTTTTCTATATCTTTTATATTATATGTATTTATTATGAAAAACTTGACTTACTGAGTCATTTTTATTATTCAATGTCCTTACCGTATATAAACGTACGCTTTTCATCGAGAAATGTTTTTAAAACTTTTTATAGATAATGTACATTAATATAATAACATAGATGTAGATTAAAAAAAATACATGAACATGCGCCGAAACTTGTTGCTATTAACAACATCTTTTTTAACATTTTTACGAATTTACAAGTGACCAATCCGCAAAATCCGTCACTGTTGACTTGCCATTTTATAAATATCTTCGTCCAATATTATTCAATTATTAATAATTCACGAATATTCCAACGAGATCTGATTGCGCCGCAAGCTTGTGGCAATTTTCCCATAAGTATAACAACTCGACGATTACACATGCACGTTATCGTAACTCAATTATTAACGATAAGACTAATTATACTGTACCATCGTAAGCGGCGTGCGTGTTACATTGTCAATATACATAGCGTTATATCACGATTCTATGATTGTCATTCATGTTCATAAATTCCTATTTTTCCCCCGACTTCTGTTAATATACACGAAATCATCCTTATTCATTTTTTGCTCCTTAAATAGCATCTTATCCTCGATGAATTCTCTATCATTTTGTACGATTTTTCTAACAGACACGATATGTTCGCAATATGTTCGTTAACTAAGAATGTCGTCAACGTACAATGTGACACAATGATGCAGAGCTGTTTCTATTAATCAAGCAAAATGTTTTCCATTATAAATTCTCTGTTTATTATCATTATTTCAAACTCCAATATTTTTTTATCACTACCTTTCTCCTCGCATTCGATGACACTGATGACATTCTGTAGTTAACGATATTGTACATAAACAGATGATCATGTGTGTATATACAATTATATACGTATCTGTACGTTACTTAGATTTACGTAGGCCGTAACCGAATTTAGGAGTTAACGCAGCGAAAGCGAAAACGAATCCGTTTTGCGTCGAGATCTACGATTAATATCAACGATCATAATCGCGATACGATCAATCTGAAATTGCCTAACGTCACTTTAACGTATATACGTACGTTTATTCTCAATTTATTGGGATAACTTTTGCTTAATATCTAGTCACTAGTTCGTTAGTTTGACTTGAATTTGTGTCATTAAAAGAACGGACCAATTTAACATTTTTTTTCAATTCAAATTATTTATAACAATTCTCTAGAGACTTCCAGCTCTAGTAAAATTCCTGTTGCACAAATGCGTCACAATCCTCTGCAACTTTTTCTCGATTACATGTCCTAAACAAGATATTAAACAAATATTTTGGAAAATACCTTTGATATTAACGTTTTATAATTTTATTATATCATATCGTATCATTATGACATGTTTTCCAGCGACACAGATTCGGGCCATTTTATGCCTAAATTAAGCGATTTTAAGTTAGATTTAATATTACTTTCCATATTAAGCGCGCATATTTTTGATCAACATTCCTTTAAGTGATATAAAATCGTAATTGCACCGTACGATGTAGTAGGATATCTCCCTTTAAGAATTCTGTGTACAATTCACTCTTTGTTTGTTATCTCATAGCAAATACAATCGATATATCTCATATCTCTTCATTTTTTTTCAGCATACACATCGAAAAATGATGGCAAATTTCTCATTTTGTTTACAATATTGTTATTTAAGATCATTCATTTCTTGCCAAGGAAAAATTTTAATAATTATCTACCTATAATTTATAAACTTTTTTTCGCAAATGTTTGTAAACACGACAAAAATTGATGGTAATTATTT